TATTTTTGTTAATTTGCTTGTGTATTTGCATATAATTTAGCAGATCGACAAATAATAAAAAACCGCTACGTAGACGAAAAATTACGCCCACGGTATATTTGACAGTTTTACCAATTTTTACCCGAAAAGCGTTTCTGTACTTTTTATACCCGAGCGCACTTGTGCACAAGGGTATTATAACTTTGTTCACATAACGGTTGTTTGTAACAGGCAAAACGAATCGAGATAGATATAGACAAATGTATACACAAATGATCAGAATGAAAAGAGAAATCGATTAAGCGGTGACTGTCTGTCCGTCCGTCCGTCCGTCCGTCCGTCCGTCCGTCTGTGCACACGATAACTCGAGTAAAAATTGAGATATCTTAACGAAACTTGGTACGTGAACTTCTTTTGGGCGTAGGACGGATGGTATTGAAAATGGGCGAAATCGGACAATAACCACGCCTACCTCCCATATAACGGTAATTTTAAGAAATACGAAAACTGCGATATTTTAGTAACTACTGAAGATAATTCACTCAAAATTGATATTTACAATGAGTTTTAGACGAAAAATAAGAATATTACAAAATTTTGGCAAATGGGCGTAGCCACGCCCACTTATGGTTACATGTGTATATCTTGGTAACCGCTACACCAATTTCTTCCAAACTTGGCACAGTTGTTGGTCCTGGTACAACATACCAAATGGCCGAAAATTTCTAAAATCGGACAATAACCACGCCCACATCCCATATAACGGTAATTTCGAGAAATAGAAAATCTTCGATAAATCAGTAAATATTGAAGCTAATTTATTGAAAATTGATGGTTGCAACAATTCTTTACCAAGCAATACGTTTATGACAAAATTTTGGAAAATGGGCGCCCACCACTTGTGATCACATATATGTATCTCGCTAACCGTTCTAGCAATTTGTACCAAGCTCGGTATGGTTATTGTGCTTGCCACATAAAAGCAAACCGTTGGAAATTGTTGAAATCGGACTAAAATAGAGTCCGCTTTTCATATAACGGTAAATTTCAGAAATGCTTGAAATTTCAATATTTCGAAATTTAAGGACGCTAATTTACTTAAAATGTATACACCCCGGCTTATCATGTAGCGGTAGCTTTCGGATAGGTGGAAAACATATATTTAATACTTGCGCCGGGTATTTAATGTTCGGCTCCGCCCGAACTTAGACTTTCTTACTTGTTTGTTTTCCTCTCTTACTCTTAGAGCAATTTTCTTTTTGCCATTTTTACAGGTTTTATCCAGAAAAGTTGAGGAACGAAGCTAATACTTTGGTCACTAAATTAACATACTAGCGGCAGATAAATCAAAATTTTATATCAATAATTGCATTAATAACTATATTTCTTGCCCGCATTTGATTAAAAAGGAAAATTAAATCAAATAGTTTTGATTATTTGAAACAGCTGACGAACGACGCGCGCGAAAAGTTGAGAGTTGTTGGCGTTGGCGTTACCCAACTTTGGTTATGTGAAGACTTTCACATAAATGCATGTATTCATATTCAGCTGTCGAAGCGACGCCAACGCCAACGCGACGCCAAAGTTGTATGTAAACGGGCATGGCTAATCATCTGTCAAAGCACACTTCAAAAAGAATCAGTCCGGCGCCTTCGTCTTGACCTGCGGGCTATGTCGGAGCCACAACCGCTGAACTTAAACCATAAATACGTGATATTACTAAGATCACACTCAAGTGAAAAACGATACATGAAATATTCGTTTTGATTGTATTGAATTTTACTGAATAAATCAATATTGTGGCGAATACTGCGGCAACACAAAGCGAACAACGAGATATAGCGATACGAACCGAAGCATTTGGAAAATCCGGACGAGGTTTCAAGGATAATCGTAACAACATGAATTGCTAAATATTAATACTTAACAATAGAGAATTAGATCCACATCAACTTCAATCATATGTACCATCAGCTTATAAATAGATATACCATGACGTGCATCACTACTTGGATTCATTTTTATTTCCTTTCATACTGCAGACATTTGTACTACTTTTTATGTTAGCCTAGGTCCCCATATTAGTTTCTTCTTCGTGTTCGTGCTCGTCTTCGCATGATCTTCGTCTTCGGATTTGTGCATAATTTAGCTAAGATTTCTGAAACAGCGGGCAACCCTCCTACATATAGTTAAGAAATGAACAAATCTCTTCTTAAATACGTGATAATGCTCCTAAATACGGTTTAGAAACAAAGCCTTTTGACCCATTTCATTTGATACCCATATGTTAAATAAATGCTTTAACCCTCTAGTAGGCTGACTAGGCCGTTAACTAAACACCTTTTTAGTGCACCTATAATAATTTTTTCTATATTCGTAAGGAACGATCTTTAGACAAAAATCGTACCCTTACGGCGAAGTAAATTTGAATCCGTTATGTCAATCCGTTTTATTTTAATCGGCAGTTGAATTACATATTGTGGAAGACACGGTTAAAATTAATTATTTCTTGTTATTTAGTAATTTCGTAATTAAAGAAATTTTTTCTTTTGAAAAATTTTGAAAAAGCATTAATCGGAGGTAGAAGCTCCAGTTAAATACAACGACTGCTTTATCGATCACATGGTATATTCATGATGTCGAAAATGTCGGTAACGATGTTTAACCGGCTGGTAGTGATAACCAGACATTGAACAACCGGCCCTAAATATTCAAACTAGGAATATCTTACCACCTTCGTTTCACGTCATATTTTAATATTTCATTTAACTTATGGATACTTTAATTAAATTCTACTTTTAAAACAGATGGCAACCCTATTCAAAATATTTTAAAACCAAAACCTTGTTAAAACTTTTTCGACTGACACACATATTGCGATACATATTTAAATTATATATCTAATTCCCTTAATTCAACTTGAATTTAATTTCTAAAACATATGGCAACCCTCTTAAATAAAGTTAAGAAAAAACATTGCAAACCCATGTCAATTCATACCCATACTTTAATAATTCTTTTGACTTATTAAGTAATTTGAGTTAATCTTTTTACACAGGTGGAAACCCTCAACCACAACCTCTTTCATATGACATCCTTATCAGGATATATATTTTAGAGGTTTACGCCGACATACTTTGCGGCGGCGGCGTGGTCAACTTCAAAAATATTCGGCAGCGGCGGCGACGCCGGCGCGTGTGGAAACGCCGGCGCTACTGCACATAGTAGGCCCCTATTGCGAGTGTCGACTGGCAGTAGAATAGAAATTTGTCGATCGAGTCGATCATCTTTTATTTTGCTATTGTGTAACTTGATCGATAAAAATTTGTACTATTGTGAATGGTCGATAGAATTGTAAACAGCTGTTTGTTTGTTTACATTTGTTTCTTGAGTGTTTTATTTACATCATTTTTAAAATAATTGCTTTTATTATAAAATTAAAAAAATGGACACAGTTGAAATATGGTTTAGTGATGAAGAAGATGATGCCGAAGCTAATAGATTAGTAGAGTTAGCTAAAGCAAGGAGGGAATTGCGAGATTCGTCGGATCCCTTGGACTTGGAAGGTGTATGTACATGTGTGAGTTTTATGAATAGAAGTTGCGTTCCCGATGCTTCACAGTTTTTAGGCTTTACATGATTTGCAGGAAAAGCTGTTTTCCTCATTAATAAACTTTATGGAAGTTTAAGAAATACGGTACGGTTAAGTTTTTTGTACAATGATGTTGGGTTTTTGTGTCCAAACGCGTGACCTGAGTTTAAAAACTTTAACATAACAAGTGTATTGAAAGAATTCAACTTTAATTTAAAATAAAGATTTCAAATTTCCGAGCACTAGTCAATTAATAAATTATGCAGTTTTTTTGTATAAACTTTTGATGTTGGCTCTGCGCAAAAACACTGTGGATGGCGTAGCCGGAGTTATATGCACAAGAAATATTGTATATGTATCTTTTCCAATAGAAGTGGAGCTTCCTACCCTACTCTTTCCGGAAATTCCTTTGCCTATGTCTTCACTCTCCTGCATCAGTACGAACAACCGCGCAAGTTGCCTTTTGTTGCTTATAATTTTTGATCTGTAATTCAGACACATACATGCATATGTATATTTCACAATTTTTTACAACTTCCAGTTCAATTGACTTACTTTTTATCCATTATAGTACCACTTTCTTATGTAAATTTTATAAACGCAAACTCCAACGACTAAAAAACAGCAATAGAAGGATGAGCGATTAAAAAGTATTCACAGTCGCTAATTGAGCGACTAAGCGACACTCGCAATAGCATCGATAATCGATAATCGCTTAATAGTCGTTTATCTACCAGAGAACGTATATTTATAGAGAAGGTCCAAGAACGGATCAGCGTGGAAACTGTCAAATACCAACAAAACTGGCGAAGCGCAT